CCAAGTACTGATTTTGCCCCAGATTCCCCAAGTGGCCCCCTCAAGGATTGAACTCACAACCCTGGGTTTAGCAGGCCAATGCTCAAACCACTGAGCTATCCCTCCCCCAGTTCTGTGTTTGATTCCTATCTCTGTCACAAACTCCCTCCGTGACCATAGCCAACTCACTCAAGGTCAGGTTCTCACACCTTACTCGGGTTTAGTAGCACTTTACTCTGTGAGTGATTTCAGTGAGGCCATCTGTGGAGGGAGGTACTACTCTGTGTGAGTGAGGGAATTAACATCTGCCCCTTCAGTTCTTTGTGCCTCAGTTCACCATCTGTTAAATGGGAATAATAACGCAACTTTACCTCAACTGGGGTCTTGTGAGGATAAATTTATTAATGATTGTGAGTTGCTGAGATGCAACAGCATTGTGGGCTAGATAACTAGAAGAGGTCAGTGTCTCAGAGAGCTTACAGTCTAAATTTAAGCTACATAATAAATGTGTGATCACTCACAGCACCCTGAGGTGGATCCTCCCAAAACATTCTCAGCTACCTGACTACCATTTTGCCTAATGTGTAGTGTACGTGTAATATGCGGTGTGCTTGGCTACACACATGCAGTCTAGGGTGAAACTCTAGTCTGGGTGGTTAGAAGAAACATCCAGATTTGGGAGGGTGCTCAGTCAAACCCACCCCTTAAAGGGTTCCTCGCTATTGGTAAATATAAAACCACATTGCCAGGAGGGGGATGGGAGGGCAATCACGTTGCATCAGAAATGTTGAGGAAGAGGAGGTGACTTTCTTTGACAAGAAGGCAGACAGTTGGTTTTGAGTTCACCCTATGGAAATGTAACATGCAGTTTATAAGACCAAATGTGGGGCCAGTCTGCCTGCCTAGCTATTTATCCATCTACCTATTACTGACACGGCCTTCATCACTGTAACATCTGAGCTGCTAGCATGCTTTTTTCTAACCGCCTTGCGTGAGCTTGGTCTTTCACAGCTTGCAGGATGTCTCCAGGATGTTTTCATGAGGTGAGCCTTTGCCAAATGTTTATAGATCTGTTACAAAACAGATGTGCTCTCTTTTTCTTTTCTTTTTTTTAACCTTCTCTCTACTGGTAAGGAAGAGTTTGTGCAGTAATTGCAGGCAGGTTGGGAGATGTTCTCGCCATAATTCTCTGTCTTGTGAAATGTTTATGTAATATCTTCCACCAATGGATTACGCAAGTGAGCCGAACAGCTTTGATCATTTTCCATCACCCACAATTCGTTTTTTGTTTTGTTTATGGGGTTTTTTTTCCACCAGGATTGGGTAAGAAACCCATCAATTGGCTGTCAGAGCGAGCAGACCCACCAGCTAACTAATGAAGGGACCAACCAGCCAATGAGGGAAGGGACTTCCTTTACACCAGCTTGCTCTCCATTTGTTTTTTACTTGGGGTCAGAGGTCCCAAAACAAACTATGTAAAGATAGGGAGAACATCTAGATTAGATTTGCAGGAGCAATTCCTTTCCTGCACCCCAGTAATCCTTTAATGCAGTAGCTTCATGTGGTGTATTTATGTCATCCTCTAGTGGATCACCAAGAGGATAATTGCCCTACTATTTCACTAGCTTTAGGAGATCCCCTTTAGCTCAATTGGTAGATACTTGTGGTTTTGGAGATGAAGGTATAGAGTTCTAGTTCCTCCTCCCAGTGTGCATGATCTATATATCAGTAATATTTGTTGTTTGTGGCACGTCATTTTGTTTCATCCCCCTGCAGGGGTCTCTCCCTGGGTCGGTGCACAGTGAGTATATTCCTAATAGTTTGCTGTGCAATCTGCAATTGCATTTTTACCAAGGCAGATTGCATCATTTCCCTGAATTTTACATAGGAGAGGAGGAAACCTACCGTCTCCCTGCCACCTTTCTGTTCACTTGTCCCAGTCTACCTTGACCTCCATACAAAGACCCCAGAGAAACTAAGCACAATCTGACCTTCATTTTGCTCTCTGGCTTAAAATCACAAGAGCTGAGACACTGACTTTTATCACGGGTCTCCTTATAGTTGCTGATTTTTCAGAAAGTCCTAGCTTCTGGAGTCAGGTGATTATGTGAGAATCTCTGCTTTTTTTAAAAAAGGTAAAATTCTGACCCTCTTGGTCTGGTGAAAAGGCTTGAAAACATGACCTAGGTGCACTCAGAAACCAGAAGGGGGTGGGGAATATTATTTAAAAAAATCTGTGATATCAGCCTGACTCGCAGTTCTTGAATGCTTGGGATTGGAAATCCTGTAAAGTTTTCTCTGGATGAACCAAAGTTGGAAGGATCTGCATAAACACCCCAAACTTTGTGACTTGGATACATCCCAAAGATACAGTAGTAAACAGATAGGAAGCAGCCAGTATGCAGGGGAGGGATGGAGTAAATTTGAGTCTAACACCAACAAAATAAGGTGCAATGGAGAAGAGTTGGTTAATTACACCCAGGGTCCCTCCCATCTTCTCTGGAGAAAGCTGGTGAATTCCAGGAAGTGGGGGACAAGCTGTTGGTGATGTTGTTGTTTTCTAAATTGGGAATCAGTTGTTGGTTGTTTTGTTTTGTTTTGTTTTTGTTTTTTTGCCAAATCCACCTCTTGATCTCACGTTATGTGATGTTGGGATGCGGCGACACACCCTTTTCTTCCTGGAACGCTTCCAAATCATTCCGTTTGGCAGCTGTAAAAATTGATTTCAGTTTGGAAATGGCTTGTGGTTCTTGAACGCTCAGCTCCGATCAGGATCAGGCAGGAGAAAGCACCTCGGTCTTTGTGTGGGCATGGTCACTTTTCTTTCGGTGGCTGATTGGATTCGGAATCTTGAGTCACGTGAGCAACAGACACATGAATCACTTGCCAATTTGCTGGATCTTTAATTGTAATGATTGCAAGTAGGGGTAATTTTTTTTTTATATGTGGTTGTTTCTGGTAAATCTATCTTCAGGAGGGAAAGAACTTGGAGAGGGTGAAAGGGTTGAAGTGGAGTGGCGGGCTCAGAGGAGAGGAAATGATGTATTCCATAGGGCCTTTCATTTAATGGTCACCAGTCAAACACTACCCAGATTGGTAGTGATCAAAAGTTTTTACCATCTGTCTAGTAGAAGATCGCTCCCTCCTGAGAGGTGGGGAAGAACTAGAATTCTCAGCTGTCTTTGGAAGGGGTTAATATTGCGCAGTAAGCTTTATGCAGTGTCTATAGCTGTAGCATGTTACCGAAAAGAGATGTCGTCATTCTGTTTTTTGTGTACTACACCTTTAAATGTGTAAATTAATCTTGATGGGGGCAGCTTCATTTCTGTGCTTCAATTCAGAGTGAGAGAGATTGTGTTTTCTCTCTCTCTCTCTCCCTCATGGAGACTCTTATATTTGTTCTTTCTTAGTTGTTTTTCCTCCATCTGTAACAAAAGCCCATCTCGACTGAAAAATGCATGCTTTGCTCATTGTTTGTGGGAAAACCTACATTGCTTGTCTCTCTCTGCTGGTAGGAGGCTATATTACTCACTCTCTGCACTAGCATCTCAGGATACCGGAGAATGAAAAAGTTTTGTTTTTTTTCAGTGATCCTGGATTGTGTCATTAACTACCGCTGGTAGCAAGATCCATCCCAGATTCTAAGAGAGAGTCCACAACCCCGAGCCAAAGCACAGGGTTTTCATGGCATTGGGGAAAAACTAGACCTGGATCAGGACAGTCACTTGAAAGGACCCAAACTAGAACCCCAGATCCAAGCACCCTCAAACTTGGGGAAGGTTTGGCTTTGGATCAGAATTTTGCCACTTGGCTCCATTTCAAGAAAAGACCTATTCGATGAGGCCAAAAAGTTCTCTCTGCTCCCTACAAATGCAGGATACAGTCCTCCCAGTTGAGGATGAGCAAGACCCTAACCTGATGTTGCACCTATTCCACTCAGCCTGCCACGGTTATGTGGGAGCATTCCTTTGTTCTCCAAAATCCTATTGTCCATCCCCCGGAGGCGCCAGGTCCCAGTGACAAATTTACACCCAATGCAACAAGCAACAATAGGTTTTGCCTTGTTTTGGAGCAGAAAGAATTAAAAGTAACTTGGAGACCAAAGAACGGAACAAACTCAAAGCTCCACTTCTGATCCCTGGTGAATTTTTCCTGTCTTAGAAATCTAGATTTGAGTCTTGCCTGGACTTCAAAGTAGGGCAAGAGGTTCCGGGGGTGACTCCAATACGGTGTTCAAAATGCTGGCCAATCACTGTTTTCCTTTGCTAGGCAAGTCAAATAGCATTTGTTTGCCCATTATCACCAGTGGTGAAGTGCGGGCAAGTAGATTTAGTGCCGGGACTGGTGAACTTTCAAAGCTGGCAGCCACTCCTAAATGGTGCTGGTTTTCATGTGCTTTAATCGTACCACCACCTGTTCTTCTCTTCTCTGTTCCCTGCACCCTCATAGCCACCTCTGCAGGGAGATGCCCTGTAGCCAGAAATGCAGTGGAGTGCTGCTGAAGCAGCCCCTAGAAAGGGGATTAGCGACTTAGCCACCCCACCAATTTCTATGCATTGCCTGTTATAAGACTGCTTCCTGGTGCTTTTCTTCCAAGAGCCAAAAATGTTTCAGCAGACCACTTAAGCATGTGCTTGACTCGAAGCAGCATTGAAGTCAGCGGGACTTAAATGCTTTAATTAGAGGGCTTTTAATTAAGGACAGCTCACCCCTCCCCTTGGCGAAGTGGGTCAGTAGACTTATGCCCACTTTGCAGGTGGGGACACTGAAGCAGAGTGGGTAAGTGACTTGTCCAAATGCACAGACGTTGCTGCAGAGCCAGGGATGGAACCCAGGAGTCCTGACTCTCATTACTAGACTTCACTGTTGGTGTGATGCCGAGCACAGGTACAATAGAAAGGATCTTCCCCAGGTGCCCCAAACTCCAAGCTTCCTAACTTCCCGAATCTTCCACCTTTCTCTGACTCCACATCATCTATTCATGCTTCCTGCTGATACAACTGGTCTCCTCTCCCACGCAGATTAAAACAGAAGACCTCAGTGATTCCTTGCAATCTCCGGTACAGCCCAGATCAGGCCACCTAGGACCAGGATCATCAATGATGCCTGGAAGCCAAATCACCGGGGTAAGTGGCTTAGCAGCCTCAAGAACTCCAGGAGTCCTTTGGGGCGCTGGTTCTGGAGCACTCATTGCTTGAAAACCACTTTAAAGAGGTGCTCGTATGGCAATGGAGAAGGCTTCCAGAGTCCGACACTGTGAATCCTGATTCAATTTGCTTTGCGAAGGCCAGGTTCATCCTTAGGGTCACTCAACTGACTTTGGTCGAGTTACACCAGAGACAAAATGTGTTCCTTGGGGGAGATTTTTCGAAGGCCCAAATAGCAGTTAGGCGCCTAACTCCCATTAACTTCCAATGGGAGTTAGAGGCCCAAATGCTATTTGTGCCTTTTAAAATCTCTTCCCTTATGTTTGCACCTAAGATGAAAGGGTGAAATTCACCCCTGAGCAGAGCCCTTGCCCAAGACGTAGGCACCACTTATGGTCCCACAATGCTTCAAAACAGGGGCCAGATTTTAAAGCGCATCACACTGGGTGCTTGTTGGCTGCTGAGCTCCTTTGAAATTCTGACCCCAACTGTGGGTGCCAAGGACTTGGTTATCTGACCCTTATGGGCTTAACTGGTGAATAGACTTTGTGAATTCCACCCCAAGTCAAGCTTCCTGTCTGTAAAGTCACACAAGGAGTCAGAGCTGGGACCCATGGTGGTATAATCAGGAAATGTTGTGATTGAGGAGTTTGTAGGAACTACAAAGATTTTTGCCTCCTCTTTCCTCAGTCAGAGCCCTGTGTGCGGGGCTGGGAGTTCTCACCTGCCCAGGCAGCATCAAGCAAGAACACCTCTTAGGATCAAGTGGACATACTTAACACAGCCCTGGGCCTCGCTCCTTCCCAGATTCTCTAGAGATCCAGTTGGGAAATGAGGATTTGGTTTCCATGCAAAATTGAACTTTTTGTTTGTTTGTTTTTATTTTTATTTAATTTTTTTCTGACATTTTCTGAGTTGTTGTCAAAAACCTGAAACGTTCCCCCTTCCCCAGTGATTTTTTTTAATCGTTGTTTGATTTTTTTTTTGGCAACTGAAAACCAAAATGTTTCACTTTTAAACTGAAAAATGTCAATAGACAAAAAAGGGAGAAATTGATAGTTTGGGAGTTTGCTTTTTTGACAAAAAAAAAGGAAAAAAAACATTTAAGCAAAAAGCCAGTGTTGAAAAAGGTTTGGGTGAAAAATATGGGAGCAGCTCTAGTTCTGTGGCGCTCAGGTGTGGGTGTGTGTGTGTGTGTGGGGGGGGGGGGCTGAGGTTACCTGAGTTGCAGTCTATTGTGGTTGAAGGCAGAAATGGGGGTAGGGAGGGTAGCGGGGGGGGGGAGGGGTTAAGTGTTACTTACAGCAGGGAAGGAATTGGGGAGAGGGGTGAGTACTGTGTGCAGGACAGATGCATCTGATCTGCATTGTTTCTTCGTTAGGATATGAGTTCTCTTCACACCCTGCAGCAGCTTGTACTGGTGCCCGGTCCTATGCAATCAGTTCCTCAGTTCCTGCTCTCTCAGGCCCAGGCTGGGCAACAAGGTAAGAGCCATAGAGTGCTCACTAGAATCATTAATGCAGTGGAGACACAGGTAGGTACACGGAGTGATTCAAGAACCAACCCACCCCTGACTAGATGGGCTGGTGATATCCAGGGCCAGGCACTGATCTCTCAGTGGCATCGATCCACTGACGTCAGGAGAGTCACTCCAGATCTAGGCCATGGTGACCAAGAGCGGAAACTGGTTCACTGGCTTGCTCCCGTTGTTACTGACCATGCCTCTCTGTATTCCCAAAACTTTCCCCTTCGCCCTCTCTCCTGCATGACAGCTCCCTCTCCTGTGTTATACCTGAAGCCACCCCAAAGCCCTGACACCAGGCAGCTGCTCCAACCAAAACGCAAACTAAACTAAACCACTCGCTGATGGAATTCTCCTCTCTCAGCTACGCAGCTGGGGAGATTCTCCCACAGCTGCACTTCCATGCAGCAGTAGCGCCACCAAGGGGCTGTGTGCACTGATCTCAGGCATGCCTCAGAGAAATGCCTCTCTCCCTTGAAATTCAGCACTGCCTCTGGTTGGGTTAGTCTCAGGCAGGATGACATGGAAACACCCAGGAGCCTCATCCTTAAGGGGAACCTGCTCTAGCGTCTAACTTCGGTATATTCTTTTTAGAGGTAAGCTTTTAAAAAATAGATGTGCATTACACATGGCTTGGGCCAGTGTTGGTCATGGAAGGACAAACGTAGGTCCCAAGGCTACGATCTGATCTACGTAGATGGAGCCTCATACCCATGCTGAGTAACTTTTGACTTCAGTGATCAGAAAGGCCCCCTTGCATGGACCGATTGCAGGATTTGGGCCACAGATACATTGAAACACATGAGCCTAGAGTACGACAGTGTATAAACTCTGGATGAAAATTAGTTCAATTTGTCTAGACTGAGTGGACAATCTGTCTAGCGCTGATGGCTCTTAAGCCGTTATCTCTGCCAAGTGCTACTGAGTAATATATCAAAAAACCACTTGCTGTACATGTAACAATAATCTACTAAACTAATTATCCTGAACAGGTAGGATTGGAATAATCTACCACTAAACCGTTTGCTCTCAGTACCAACGCACTCATGTGCGATAGGAAACGCATCGTGCCAGAAAGCAGCACTGAGTTTAAATGTGAGAAAAGTATGGAAGATTTCTTGGGTCCTGATATGTTGAACTCATAGGTTCATACAAATGAAGGCCAGAAGGGACCATTCTGATTATCTATTCGGACCTCCTCCATAATACAGGCTGCAGGATTTCACCCAGTGATTTCTGAATCAATCCCTGACAAGTCTGCATCTCTGGTACAATTTCCCTCCTCATTACAAGCTTTTATTTTTCTGGGGTTATGGGGGGAAGGGATGTGTTTTGCTTTTACAGCAATAGTGAATAAACCTTGACCAGTGAATAAACCTGGAGACATGCACAACCAGAGCCAAGCAGATTATTCTTTCTATGGTGTACATTTTATAAATCTAAATGTTAAGCACCTGATTTAAATTCCAGGAAGACAATCAATACAGTGAGTCTCCTCCAGTTTCCGGAAGCCACAGAGCTTTGTCTTATGAATTAGTTAAGGTTGTTAAAGCACCATGGAGGTAATAAGCATGGTAAAAGAGCCAAGTACTGCTATCCTCCTCATCTGATTTCTGCAAGACAGTATTATGATTTATGCAGAGCCCAAAATGAGTCAGGTGTTTTAATGGTCAAGGAAAAGGACCAGGTCTCTGTCCGAAGGAGCTATTGTATTAATCTCAAGGGTCAAAAGAGCTAAAGGTGTCCGAAACTCTTTCACTGTCCGACATTTACAAGAGTGATACAAAGGTTCGGGGGAATTTCTACATAGGTTTACTCTGTTTCTTGGCAAGCACCCAAAAGCTTTCCTCCTAAAAGATTCTTTTGAAAGTTTATTGACCAAACACAAGAAATCAAAACAAACATTTATACTGACGCTGAAATTAAGTTATTATGTGAAACAAACTTAATCAAAACGTGTTTGTCACTCTGCTTTGGGGAGGCAGTGTCTCCCATTTTTTATTAATGACCTTGGATGAAAAAGAAAGAGTTAATTTTGCTGTCAGTCCTGTTGTGTGAAGGGTATTCACGTCTCCTGTTTGTAGCAGACAGGCAGACACAAAGTGGAGAAGAGAGAGGATAGAAAAGGTGAGCGAACGATGGCTTTGGTTGAAGCTTTTGGAGCACTGGACAGCTTGTCAATTACTAAGAGATGCTTTGGCTGGCAGGTTGACCAGGACACCGGTTGCTTGGACCCTGGTTCACGTTCCGGTCAGGGACATCATCTGGTTGGGTCCTTCCCCCTTAGACAGAGCAGGGTTGTGGCCATCTTGTCTCGCTGTGCTGATGCAGTGGAGTTGATTTCAGGATTCAATGAAAAGCCGAGAAAGTCAGAGAGAGGATTAGGGTTGCCAGCCCCCCAGGGATTAAAGATTAATCTTAAATTAAAGATTATGTCATGTGATGAATCCTCCAGGAGTCCATCTAGCCAAAATTAGCAACCCTAGATAGAATAGGAGGAAAGAAATAGTGGGGCAGAGAGTAACGCAAAAGAGAAGGAAGATAGAACAGGATCTTGCATGCCTCTGTGGCACTGGCAATTGGATATCCCCACTGATTGGCTGAGGATGGGGTGTCATGATGATACAATGGCTTTCAGGACTCTCAGGTGAAAAACAAGGTTCCTTGAACAAGAGCAAGGCCTGATGGTCTTCCTCTCGGGGAGAAAATCCGTCTGTCTGATCCACTCCCTCTGTGTTGGGATTGGGGGAGATGAGATGAGTTAAAATGCGCCAGGGCAAGATGTGAGCTCGGAAGTGAAGATGCGTTGGGATGAAAACAAATTTCCAAAGTCTCCTTGGAAGAACCCCAAAAAGGGGGAAAAGTGGGAGGCATAATTCATCCCCTCGTTACTGTGTCCACCTATTAGGCCTAGTGCCTGCCACTCCAATTTTGATCCATTGATTTCCAGACCCACATCATCTTGTTTATTAAGTCCAACCTCAACCTTGTATCTTATCAGTAGATCTGTTTCTGTTTGGACTAATTCGGTCTCTGTGTCTGGTTTCCTTGCACATGTTCAAAACATTCTTTCTTGACCTACTTTCCATGGTTAATTCCCAAGCAGGCGAAAAATGATAAGTTATTGTGACACCTTGTAAACTTTTTACAATTGAGCTTACAGTTAGGGGTAAATATTTAGGCCCAATAACTGCAACAGAGCTTGGTCAGATTTTAGATGTGATGTGATGAGTATTATAATAATTAACAGGAGGGAGATGGGCCTGGTAGGTTAAAGTACCAAGATCTAGCAATGATTCAACTGTGGTGTGCTCGTGTAACAACCCCCCGACACATACCCCGAGGTTTGAATGCAGGGACTTTCAGCACCAAAGCACAGAAATCTACTAACTAACAGTTCTAGGTTTCCCATCCCCATAGTACCTAAGCACAGGTACCAAAAAGCTATGCACACCTATGATGCTATGCAGTTCCCCCATCTGTAAAATGGAGAAGATGATGTTTACCTTGGAGATCTATGGAGACCGTGCTGTGTGATACAGAGTTGTCTAGATATTTAAGGAGAGGCCAGTCTAATCGAATCTCTCTCTCCCTCTCTCATCAGCTCTGCAGCCAAACATTCTCTCCTTTCCCCAGCAACAGAGCAACCTCATCCTCTCGCAGCCTGGACCCAGCCTAGCATCCCAGGTAAACTACTTTCTGGCTGCCTCAGCTGGAAGCGGGATCAAACTGATTATGGGCATCACGTCAACAGCGAACCTGGATCCGCAGCCGATTTGCGCCAGGGAAGTGGATTGCAGCCCAGGCTGTGGGGATTCACCTTTATTGGTGAATATCCCCACCCCCCGGCAAGAGAGGAGAGGCGAGAGAGGGATTCCATCTCCATAGCTCATTCCAGCCTTGGCTGAGGCTGCTAGCAAGGGGGACAATCCGTGCCACTTGATGGGTGTTGGTTTCTGATTGTGGACGTATTGCTCCACCCAAGCGTCCCGTCTTTCCATCTCCTTCTCCAACCCCTTCCAAACCACTCCCTAGGCCGGGAAGCCCTTCGCTTGCCTTTGCCTCAGTGAGATGTCATTCTTCAAAGAATCCAACAAGTTCCTATTCCCCACCCCCAATCCACAGCGCTTGTAACGCCCCCGTACAATCTCAATTGCAGCTGCAGGGCACTTCATCGCTCGTTCCCACTGCATCGTATTGCCTCCCTTCCTTGCCCCTGCATGTGTTTGCTTAGATCATAAAGCTCCTCAAGGCAAGGCCAGTGTCTTTTACAGCCTCGTCAAGCACCTGGCCTGATGCAAGTGCTATGTAAACAATAGTAGTAACCTCTGAAGACTTTCCTGTCTAGTCTGCATCTGCTTTTGATGACTTGTTTGCCTTTGCGGCGGCCTCTGTTCATTCCCGCTTGTGGGCTCTTGGCAACTGTGCCCTGAGTTTCTGGCACCGTTTGGAGAGAGCCATGTGCCCCTCCCAGCTGCTCTTTCAGATCCTTCAAGTCTCTACGGCCTTCAGTGGGATCATACCAAGGCAGTGCTCTTGAGGAGGTAGAAGTTCTGGTTGGTCACTTCTCTATGCAGGCAATGGAATTCCATAGGTGACTCTACATGGGGTGCCAAAAACCTTCCTCCGTTCGTCAGGCAAACTGAATACTCCCCAGGCCTGCGCCCCACAGGCATCAAGCAGAACCCTTATTGTAGAAACCTTTTTATCTTCCTTTTCCCCAGGCCACGCCAGGCTTGCGGGGGGCTCGGATGGGACGCAAAGTCAGCCCAGCCAGGGTTTGGAAAGTCACCACCCAACCCACAAGGCTTTGCCCTTCTTAGTAACTTAAACAGCTGCTCCCTTGATTTTTGCAGCTGATCAGATGAGTCAAGGGTCCATCCTTTCATTTTTAAATACCCACCCTTCACTCCAGGTATTTGCTGTTATTTAATAGACATTACCCCCAATGAATGCCAGCTCCCCATTACTGACCTAGGTTTTGTATTATAGCGGCCCAACCTACATCCTGAACTTTGAGCCCACCTCCCCTAAAACAACTTACCCTTCTCATCCCACACTTTTCTGGAAGGATCATTTTGCCCATCATTGACATGCAGCCACACCAAGCAACGTTTGTTATGGTAGGACAGTGCAGAAAATCCTGTGGCTTTTCCGTTGTCGTGACTCTGGTTTTGTTTTTAACAGGCAGTGGGACGTTCAGGGCTCCCTGGGCCGTCTTTAGAGCCCCATCTGGAGGTGCCACAGCACTTGCAAGTTGCAAAACACATGCCGTCTTCGGCCCTATCAGACGAACCCAGCGACCTGGAGGAGCTGGAGAAGTTTGCTAAGACTTTCAAGCAGAGGCGAATCAAACTGGGGTTCACCCAGGTGAGGGGCAAAACGCAGTCTGATGATGAGTGGTTTAATAGTGAGATGCACAAGGTGGGAGGGATTGGGTATGGATGAGGGCATGAAGAGGAGGGGCAGGGTTGGGTGCAGATGTGGGTATAGAAGGGAGGGCTTAATGCAGATATGGGCATGGAGGAGAGTTATACAGATGTGCACTTTATGGGAACACCACCTTGAAAGCGCAGATGAACAATGGATGAACAAACCCCTCCTGAAGATACATTACCTGTAACCTCAAACCAAGCATAACAATTACCGTCAGCCTCTTTGGTGCGTACTGGGGTGTAGGAAGGATCTGGGAGTCTATCCCTACTGGTGGAAGAGACTGGGTGAGGAAGCTGGTTTGCTGTTACAGTAGAAGTGACCTGGGAGTGAATTTTCTCAGCGAATCCTTTCATTCTGGTTCCCCCGGCAGGGCGACGTGGGACTGGCCATGGGTAAGCTGTACGGCAACGATTTCAGCCAGACCACCATCTCCCGCTTCGAGGCTCTCAACCTGAGCTTTAAAAACATGTGCAAGCTCAAGCCCCTGCTGGAGAAGTGGCTGAGCGATGCAGGTAAGGCACAACACCGTGCTTGAGTGAAGGCTGCCATCTTGGCCAACAAAGCAGGGATTGAACCAGGCACCTCCAGAGCTAAAAAACACAAGCTCCCATAGCTCAAGCTCCCAGACTGGGGCAGTCACAGGCTCCTATCTTCTGGGAATTGGGCACTGAGGGGGACTCGTAACACGCACTCACCAATGGCATACACTTGCAGGGAGAAGGGAGGGTCACAGACAATGTCATCAGGGCCAACTCCAGGTTTTTGCTGCCCCAAGGGCAAAAAAAAAAAAAGCCGCGATCGCGATCTGCGGCGGCAATTCGGCGGGAGGTCCTTCGCTCCGCGCGGGAGGGAGGGGCCGTCCGGGGGAATTCCCCC